TAATCTTTATTCTCATTTATTGAACAGTAATGTTAACCTGTACGTCCAAAATCTAAATCAAAAATCCCAAATAAGTACTGAATGTATATTATATACCCAGTCAGGAATATGATCTCACAGTGATCTCATACTGATCTCACAGATTATCTCACACTATGAGTCTTCTGCGATAACACTGTGAGATCAATTTGAAATCACACATTGACCCCACGTTGATCTCATCAATTTATCTCGTACTGTGAGATCATTGTGATACCCATGTGATATCATGTTTGTTATTTATAGATCAATGAAATGCATAAAAAATGTTGACCAAAGGTATTGGTTCATATATCATTTATTCAACATTCCAAAAGTATGATCCAACTGTAAAGTTTGAAGCATATTACACATGCATGTATAACACTTTAAACTGTAAGACCCGTCAAGTAACTTAGTAATCAAGGAGTGTTTTGTCCACTTTTGCGGCGAACTCTGCTTGCTGCATTTGACAGGTATATTTCTAGCTGTTTGCCGGTCTCCCTCTTCACTGTTGTGGTAATTTCCTCCTTTCCTCGCTTTACCTTTATTCCAACAGACTCCTTGTAGAAGGATTTCACTGTTGCTGAAAAAAATATGCAACTTTTATTAAGTATAAACTTTTAATTATTTTAGAGAATAGTATCGGCAGCATTGGCAATATTATTGCATATACAGATATACAGATTTTGATCGTTTGTGTACTTACAAAAGATACATTTTTCAAAGATGTCAGGCAGACTCCTCATATTTCTTGTTCCTGTTCGGTTGTACCTGGCCATCAGGCTGTCCGTCATTGAGGCCTTGAGAATGGCACGCACAGTTTCGCCTATTGATTTTTGTCCATAAGTTGCAACCATGAACCTTATCTGAACACATAATCAAAAGGAGGCACAATGAAATATCAGATGTAACTAGATAAACAAATGGAGTGCATTAGTGTTAAATATATGTTTGCTAACATGGTTTCATGGTGCCTCACCACAAGTTTCTTAAAGTTGGGATCTTCCAGCTTGCAACAGAACTCCTCAAACTCCTCAGGTGTGTCATGAACTTTTATTGCAAACACCTCTTCCCTTTCACCTTCTGGCAAGTGTGTTACCAGAGCTGCTTTTATTTTTGTTATGTCCTCCTGCATGATTGTAGCAGTCATCCGTATCTCCTCCACGGCCTTGAATGTTTCCACTGCAATATCTGAATTGAAATGGATAAATGTAAAATTTTTAAATCATATGGTCTAAGATACGGATTAGCATTTTTGGATCAAAGTTGCATGAAAAGAATATGTACAATATAAAACCTGATAAATATTACACTTACCACAAATTTTTTTGAGGTACGTTTCAGCTATGGTACCAGACGTAGTGGTAGGCTTACTGCCAGTCTCTATCAGTATAGGTTCAGTGCCAATCTCTAATTCTGGAGAGAATGAGGCATTAATATACTTATTTCAATATGCAGGGTTGAACACTAGTTATTGCCTGATGGCCCCGGACCAGCTGAGGTACTCTGTGGGCAAGTAAGTCTGCACAGCACTTGCTTGACTGGGCCTGTGCTTTCTGGCCTATTCTAACACCTAATATTAAACCTGAATGACTTTTTCATGTTCCCTTTTGGTTTCAT